CCCCCTGTCCCCTCCACAGTTCTGTCTTCTCAGTTGCAATCTAATTGACACGTCCAATCAGCCTTTCTCGAGCTACCCACCGCCACCAGCCACGGCACACGCCTCGGAACCACCCGCAACCTCATGCCACACAAGAAGCCCTCCATATGTCAAACTCTCACCCATGTTATCCGACACTTGCGATAACTTATCGAATTCCTACATTAACTACAACTCTATTCCTTATCATATCTACATCAAGTCGCTCAAAATCTGCATTTAGTGAAAAGTTTCCTCATTCAAAGATGGTGCGTCATGACTCCGTCGTCGTCGTCGTCTCGTGCGCGCGCTGCCCTGAGACCTCTTCCTTCTGATCTTGCTCTCACCCCGTGTCCTGCTTGAATCGTGGTTACCCGAGTGTGCAGGCGAGGCTGGCACTTGCGGGGCTGGGCGTGGCCTTTGGTCTTTACCTTGATCGTCGACAATCTGTGCGTGAGGTTTGCGCGAGACTTGCTTCAACCTCGGATATGCCGCGCCGATTGACGATGGCGCCCTGCCTGGAGCTTCACAGATCCATCAGGATCGTATTTGCCATGGCATTGCAGACGCCATTGGTCGCACTCCGCTGATAGAGCTGCCCTCTTTATCCGAGGTTTGTCCTTCCCCCCAAGCATTCCACTTGCATGCGTTCGCTAGCTTCGGTCCGGCCCCCTCATGAACCAGTACGGCATGCACACTCACGCTCACGACTACCTAGGCCACTGGATGCCAGATCCTAGTCAAAGCTGAACATATGAACCCCGGTGAGTGCCGCAATAACCCGACTTCCGCTCGTGACTCGATCACTGCCCCGGTCTCCAAGCCAGCAGCCTTTCAGCCTCATCCCATCGCCTGATCCGGCTGCAAAGGTGGTAGCGTGAAGGATCGAGCTGCCCTGAAGTTGTTGCGCCAGGCCGAGGCTCGGGGCCAACTCAAGCCTCACACGGGCCAATGCATTGTCGAGGGTACCGGTGCGTGGGCTTTGACTGCCGCTGCTCTCCGCCCAAGGCTGTTGCTAATGCCCATCTTTACAATGTTGCCACCTTACTTTCCCATGCAGGCGGCAACACGGGCATTGCACTGGCCATGCTCGGCACCAGCCTCGGCTACAAGGTATGACTCAAGTCTTATCGCTGAGCCAATCTACGTCGATGCCTCTACGCACGTGATCGCGCTCACCTGCTTTGAGGCCACCTTGTGGCTGGTCTGATTGGATGCGTTAGACCATCTTTGCCATGCCCGAAAAAACTTCGCGCGACAAATCCAACCTGATGGAACTCTTTGGAGCCGAGGTTTGGACCCGAGTTTCCCATCAATATGCAGCCCTAAGCCCCTGCCTGTGACATCGTATCACCTGATGTCATCCTCGCAGACGCACCGGCAACCAGCAGTGCCTTTCAACGATGAACAACACTACTACCAAGTGATTCGACGTCTGGCCCAACAAGAAGGCAACTTTGGCCCGGACCAGTTTGAGGTTGGTTCAGCTTCCGTCTCGTCACGTTGCAAAAACACGTAACCTCGTCTTGTCCACTCCAAGTCTGCTCTCTCCCTCTCCCTCTCTCTCACGCTCGCACCTCACGCACACCTTCCAACTTCAGAACACGGACAACGCAGCGGCGCACCGCGAAGGCACGGGACCTGAGATCTGGCGACAAACACGCGGCCGCATCGATGGCTTTACCTGTGCCTCAGGTATGCATCACTTGGAGACACCTTTGCCAGCTCTTAGTTGCTGGTCTAGTCTTGCCTCTGACCGGCTCTGCAAATATCCCTTCTTTTGTACGCCTTCTGCTTTCACAGGCACTGGTGGTACCATGGCGGGTGTGTCAAGCTACCTCAAAGGACGCAATTCCAAGATTGCCGTCTGGCTCACGGACCCAATGGGCTCGGGTTTGGCAGCCTACGTCAATCACGTCAGTTGCCTCACACTCAGCTTTCATTCGGGACATCAAAACAGTGCGCAGTGCCACGTGCGCTCACGGTTCCTTGCGATGCAATTCAGCACGACACAAGTTTTCCTGCCTCTGGTTCGACGGTTGCCGAAGGTAGGTCGACTGGTCAACTTATTGAAGTAAGCCGCTTAGTACTCTTTTACTGTATTTATGGCTGTTTCCTCGTGGTTTGATCCCTTTGCCAGGCGTCGGAATTACCCGGCTCACCAATAACTTTAAAGAGGCACGGGTCGATGGGGCCTTCAAAGGCACTGATGAAGTCAGTAGCAGAGGCGATCGCAAACCCCACCACCTTGCCTCCCCTGTGGGGAATAGGAAAGACTCGACCCGTATGCTCTCCTTGGCCCTCTGCATCGCTCACAAGCCTGACCGCCCACGCAGGAGGCCATCACCATGATGTATTATTTGGCACGCCATGAAGGCTTGTATGTCGGGCCATCGGCAGCACTCAATGTTGTTGGTGCTATCAAACTGGCCCGCAAACTTGGTACGTCCAACCTTGGCTCAGACAGACCGGCTATTGTCCGATACACCCGCACTGATTATGTTTCTGTGTTTCTGCTCGAAACGTCTAGGCCCGAATAAATGCGTGGTCACGGTGCTCTGCGATACGGGCGATCGCTATCGTGCCACAGTATACAATGAGGCTTGGTGAGTTCGCCTCTGGCTATCCTTGCTACCATGCACTGACTTGCTCGTTGGCTCATTCAGCGGGGCGTGCTTGCAACGACTTGGTGTGTACCTGACGCAGGCTCAAGGAGCATAACCTGGCTCCCAAACAAGTGTCTCGCGGTGATATGAGCTTTGTCCTGTGAGCGAGCGGTACGAGTGAGAAAAAAGTCAACTGCTCGTTCGACTGGCAGGTGTAAGGACTTGCCTGCACTCGAAAGAACCAAAATCCGAGTAGACCACCCTTTGTTGTCGGTGTTGATTAGGGTCTACTCATGACGGTACAGTTTGTCTGAACTCGTTTTTCTTCACACACACGTCAGATTGAAGACAAAAAAAAGAAACACGTCAATGCCCTGGCAAATATCAGGGTAAAAATGATACCGAAATGTGACGATTATTATTCCAAAACAAATCGGCGTCGTTTAAATGGGTTGATGGTATCCCATTGTTCAAGGCGATTGTGCACTGAGCAAGTGACTCAGGCAAACACGTCGTTTTCTGCCTACACAAGATAACAACGACAACAACGCACGTCCTCCTTTTCCCTCTGTCCATATGGCAAGCTTATGTCGAGCACGCGTGATATTCGCCAAAATTCTATTGATGTTCGAAACTATGCACACAGTACTCCAGCACACGAGAATGCTTGTTCAGCCACCTTGCACTTGAAGCTGGCAGCCGCGCGAAACATGTCAATCGCCAGTGAACCCCTGAGCATTCTTGAGGGCCAAGGCCAAACGCTCTTCGAGCATGCGCCGGACGGGAAATTCAGGCAAATCCAGCCGATTGAAGCATGTGTGGGCCGATGGCAATCGTGTCAAGTCTTCAAGCTACCAGTAGAATGAAGCGACGTGCGAGGGGTGCATGAGGCACGGGCGTAAGTGTAACGCTGTCCGATCTTGCTTCCGTACAGGTTTGGCGGGCGGGGGGCTCACGGGCGCGGGAACGAGCACACACCTTCTGGATGCAGAAGCGACGGGGTCCATCAGAGCCTTGCAGAGCCTGTCACGACGACACAGGGGATGACAAAGTCCATGGTGCACCGTTAGAACAACAGAGCATACAGCCGTAGCAAGCGAGAAACACACACACACACACACACACACACACACACACACACACACACACACACACACACACACACACACACACACACAAATAACAAGTGAATTTTCACGGCATAAAGTCAACGCACTTGGAATCCTTCAATGGGCACGCGAGAGCTTCCAGTGCAAAATTGAAGGAAGCGCGCCTAGAACATGTTCGCATGCAGAATCATTGCAAAACCATGAGCTGTCAGTGGGTGCCATCAACCCCTGCTGCGTACCATAGACTGACCTGATTATCGTGATCCCAAGCTTCAACAATCTCCCACAGCCATTCAATGATCTGATCATTGCTCTCGTAGCCCTTGTATTCCGTGTTTCGCTTCCAGTCTTCCAAGTCATATTCATGACTCCCTGAGATCAAGAAGCGCAGCTCCTTGACGGTGAACGTTCGAAAGTTCTCAATGGGAATGACTTCGTTGAGCCTGCCACAGCGCACAGCCCAATCACCAAAAGCAGGTGAGCAGCAGACGGCATCAGGGTAGATGCGATGAAGACCGATGTGCACCCTTCACGTCTGTCAAAGCGTGCAGCGCCTACCCAGTAAGGAGGGCACACATTTGGCGACTTGAGCTTTTGATGAGCTTCCATTCGACCATAAGCTTGGCAAACTCAAATTTGTTTTCCTCCGTCACCTGAGTCGCAAAGCCATAGGTGAGGTGGCAACTGGTGAGGTCAAGCCCTTCAAGCAATTTCATCACGCTTTCAAGCGACGCCATTTATTGCGGGCGAACAACAAAAGAAACCCAAACAGACCGCTTTGTTGGCCCCGCCTGGCACAAGCTCGTGTGTCCGAATGTCCCCAAGCTCGTCCTCGTCGGTCGAAAAGGTCAGGTCAGGCACTTCGGATACGTCATTTTCCAGGATCCAAATTAAGCTGCGATGCACGTCAGGATCCGAATCTTGAAGGTCTCTGCACAGCGAGGATGCACAGAGCCACCAGGCGAATGTCATCAGCTATGCAAACAGGCTGCCACGCGTCGCGCATGCAGGATCGACCAGCATTTGGGGAAGAAACACAACATCAACCACAATAACAAGAAGTGAAATGTGTCCATTGTGCGACATACGCCAGCGTGATAGATTGACCAAGTATCTGCTTGTAAAAGCTGCTGACAAACGTCACGTCAAGAAAGTGGCGGTGAAGGATGGCCAGACCAATCAGTCGGCCCGTGAAATGGAAAAAGAGGGTATGGTCCTGGTCCGCACTGGACGAGGGGTTGATCTGCAGCAAGTAGTCTTGCTCATTGCAGTAACTCTAAAAGCGCGGCCAAGCAACCCGTATGCAAGGAAGACGATATCAGCTACCCAAACAACTTGAACCGAACTGGGTAAGTACCAGCACAAGGTGCATACTTACAAACATGCCGAGACGCGGATCAAAAACCTCAATGCCCAGTAGATAGAACCACTCGCGGGCCAAGCCTCCATAATCCAAGCCCCCTGATATTTTATGATGATATGATGATGGAGTTGCCATCACATTGAGAATGAAACGGAGGGGCAAGTGACGAGATGCCATAGCACGAAAAAATACAAACAGTAACAAAACCAAGGAGGAAACTGCCATGGGTCAGCTCGCAACAACTGAACGAACCTTCACCGTGAAACTGCACCATGAGGCGACGACGCAAATCCTTGCGCTGGAGTCGCATCATTTCGAAGAAGGATGTTTTGAAGAGGTCCTGGCGTGATACGGTGAGCGAACACTCCCCCGACTCGACTTTGATCTGCAACCAACATGCATACAACCATCAGTTTTCAAGTCACCCCTCACACTTGCAAGCCCAGAATGAGAAGACCAACCCGCTCGCGCAGTTCGAGTTCCTTGCGATGGAATTCGCGTTTGAAGAGTGTTTGATTGGAGTCATCGTATGAGGCACCTTGGGCCTCTTGCATTGAGGCTGCGAGGGCAAGAATTGAAGAAAAAGATGTTGGCCAGGCATGGGGCTTGAGCATTGCGTGCGAGGTCGCTGTGCTGAGGGGATCCACGCGCGCATCGTTCGTCATCATACCTTGCAGGGCAAACGCCAGCTGCACATCGGGATCCGACACACTAGCAATGGCAGCTAGAGCAGCGGCCAGGTCTCCTTGCGATAGCCGCTCGCCATGGTACAGTGGACAAGCGCTGCCACTGTTGTATGTGCGTGCGTGCGTGCGTGTGTGCGTGCGTGTGTGTATGGATCGGGTACATGGCACAACAAAGCCGGAGTATGAGGAAAAATGGCCGGGGTGTTTCGAAGCTCGCATCATTGTCGGGCTGGCGCACTCGAGGCTTACCGTGGACAAAAGCCCGTCATGAAGAAAGGGCAGTGAGGTCGATCATCAGGGGTGGGCGCGCGTGTCTCGTCAAACTGCAGAGAAAATCATTGGTGAGCTGAGCAAAAGGGCTGATAGGCAAGCGGGCACGCCACAAACCTCAGGAATTGTGATGGGAGGGCTGGGCAAGCTGTACTCGCTGGTGCCAAAGAAGTTGGTGGCGCTCACCACGAAGCGAACGCGCTTGCCAGGCACAAGGCCCACGGGGGTGTGGAATGAATCAGTTCCAGAGTAAATATCTTGCGGTGTTTCAGCCATGTCTGGCAAGACGGCCAGATTGTAGGTTACTCCCTGGAGCAGTGAGTGTGCCATGATTTTGATGGTGAGAACGACAAGGGATCAGCACAAAAGCTGGAACAAATTGTTGGTCAAAAAAGGGTCACGTACATCCACAGCCTGATCATCGGTCCAGTCCACGACAAAGCTGCGAGTCACCTCATCGATGGTGACCGTTGGTGGTGGTGGCTGAGGTGGGGGAATGCATGGGTAAGGGATCGCTGCCGTGAGTGGACCAGTCGATGATCTGGCAGAGTCAATCACCCTAGATGGCACGCTGAGCCAAGATGGGGCACACTCTTTTGAACAAGAGATGAGGGAGGCATGGGTGCTAACTTGACTTGGAAGAAGTGGCTGAGAAACGTTGAGATGATCGGTGCTGCTGTTTTTGGGTAGTTTTTGCCAGCCAACGCCAGGAGAAGTGGAAAGCATGCGCTCCTCTTCCTGGGGCACGGCCACGCTACGAGGAGAGCTCGTGCGGGGGACCGCGGGCACCAAGCCAGTGCTGGCGTGCATGTCGAGCTCGTCAGACAGGATGCGAACCTGTGGTGCGGTTGCAAGCAAACCCCACATTCATCCACGCGCGAACGAGAATACGAAAACGAAAAAAAAAGGGGGGGGGGACAAAATGCGTGAATATCATGAAGTGGTCAGAAGTGGGGCAGTGAGGACACCGATATGCCCTGGACGACCAACTCAGGCATCAAGGCGAGCGTGCTGGTCTGACCTTGACGCAGATGGTGCCAGTGACGAGGTCATCGGGTACGCGCTTGCGAAGGCGAAAGTTCAGCACTTTGGTGGCACCTTCACCGAGGGTGGTCGAGTCGAGAAAGGCGTTGGCTTCAATCACGGCCATACCAAGAAAGCCGGCCCAGTCGCGGGGGCGATAGCGCTTGGCGTCAAAGACGTAAATGGTGAGGATAGAAGATGGGTTCATGAACATGTCGCGTTCCGTGAGCCATTGCGGGGAGAGCGTGCGTCGTGCCACCTATTGAGTCAAGAGGATCCACAAGAAGGGTTGCAGCGTGAGCAGAGCATGATATGGAAATGACATGTCCACAAAACAGGCGAGGTCGTGGGCAGGGAAGCAAATGTTGTGGGCCAGGAAACGGGGCAGGCGGCGCTTGGTTGAGCAACAAGGTGGAGGCCGTACCGCGGATTGAAATTGCTCGTTGTCGATGCTAACGAGAGCAAAGGGGTCAGGCATGCGCAGCATGCTTTTGCGGGCCAAGTTGTCAGCTGAGCTGACGCACACGCGGACCAGCCGCGAGCCCCTATAGGAAGGCAGGGAGGTAGCAAAGCGAGGTCATGAGGACAAGCTGAACACCTGGGGCGGAGCGTCAGGCGCCAGGCGCCAAGTCGGGGTTCAGGGCCTGGGCAAGAGGGAGAGGCAAGGCGTACAGGATTGGGGAGAAAGAGACGGCGCGGTCAATGCTTGCCAGGCTTCCCGAGCGGCCGAGACAGGAGGGGGCTTCCAAATGACAACCACGATGGGCTTCAAAGCCGCAATCGGTGCAACGAAGTGGTCGGTGAAGGCTGAAGAGGATCTTATTGCACACTTGGCAGAATTTGCCCTGTGCAGGCTCGGATGAAAACTGGTGTCGCCGCGCACCCTAGCAAGGAGGCAAGCATCGTGGTGCGCGAGCGTGGGGTGATGGGGGTCAGCAACAAAGGCCAGAAAGGATGAAACACGGTAGGGAAGTTGGAGACGGAGTGGGGCTGGGCTGGACGGAGCGAGGAAAGGTCAGGGTCTCGGTTGTGGTTTGCTCACAAGGACGTTTGCGTTCAAGCCTAACCTTTGCAGCAGCAGGAAGCAACTCCTTTTGAAGCTCTGATTGGCGGCGGAAACGGATCCATTGGGCAGCGTCAGAGACGGTCCGCCGACGCTGCAAGAGCCTGGGCGGAAGCAAAACAGAACAGCGCCATTCTTGTGAGCGATAGAGGGAGGCAAGGGCTCGTGACAGGCGTCCACCATCAAACACACAAACAATTGATCAGGTATTCAAAAAAAAAAAAAAAACATCTCACAACACGGGGCACACTTTGCAACGGAAAAGTGTCAGGCACATTATTTGGCAGCGCAACAGGGCGGGATGCACGAGAAGCGGGCTGGGATGAAGAGGCGGGATGTGGTGATGTGGGCAAAGGTGCTTGCGTATGGATGCCTTGATTGTGGGGTCATGTTTGCTAGGGTGGGTCGGGGTGGCTTACTCTTCTTCTTCGTTGCGGGAGGCCACGGAGGGATCCTTGGTCAGGGAGACGTGGTGACTGAGGCGTTCTTGCATGAAACGGGGGGAGGCGCTGAGCTTGGGGCTGGAGGCAACGTGTTGCAGATTGGGCATGGAGTGGGTCGAGGCTTCAGGGTCGAGGAGAATGCGGCGCGTCGCCGACGTGGGCACGGCCAGCGGCGAGGACCGCGGCACACTGGCCTCGGCCATGACGACCGTCGCCAAAGTGTCTGGCGGCAGGAACGGATCTCGTCGTAACGTCAAGGAAACAGCGGCTCAAATGGCATTCAAACAGTCACGTCGGGTCCAACAACTGCTTCAAGCAGTGACGCCCAAACACTAACAACGTCGTTTCAAAGGACATGCACGACCGGGCGGCAGGAGGTTTTGAACATCCGACGGAGGAGGGCTGCGCCGTCGCGCTCACTTGACTCCAGTCGCTCATGAATCAAAACAGAGCAAGAGAGAGAGAGAGAGAGCCTGTGTGGCGTGAAGAGAGAGGTGCAGGGGAAGGGGAGCAGGATGGAGATGAAGACGGTGAGTAAGATATTAGAAGAGAGAGTGTTCGGAACTGATATACTATCAGAGGTGTATAGAATCATGACTTTTTGCAAGTGTTGAAATCAATGATAAAGTAGAGATGGCTGTATGAAGTGAAAGGTATTCAGAGGAAGAGCAACAATGCGAGTGGAAGTTAGAGAGGGTCCTCTCCTCCTTGTTAAAATCAAGAGAACAAGTCAACAAAGAGATCCAAGGCAGAGACAGCGAAACAACAAAAAGTGTTGCGTTGCAAGGATTTTTGTTTGTTTGACGTTGGTGTACCAAAAAGTCTTACATTCGCACTCTTGCCTCTGCGCGCTTTTGCTTGCTCTTGCCTCTAGGCTGTGTCTTGCTCTGGCTTCCCTATGCGCACAGTCTGTGCGCTGTCTGTCGGTGCGCTGTCTGTGCATTGTCTGTGCGCTGTCTGTGTGCTGTCTGTGCACTGTCTACGCTCTGTCTGTGCGCTGTCTGTCTGTGCGCTGTCTATGCGCTGTCTGTCGGTTGCCTCGATGTCATCGTATCGGTTCATCTGTTGGGTCTAAGCGTTACTCGGTCCTTTTCGAAACCTTCACGATCTCTGACTCTCATCACCAAATTCTTCTCTTCTCTCCTTCGTGTTTGTTTTCTTACTTATGTGGTTTCTTCAAGTCATCATCTCTCTGGATGACGTACCGTTTCTCCGTCAGTCTCTCTGGCACGAGACACATGTAAGCGGGTCCGGTGGTGTTTGTGTGGGGGAGGAGGGGGCGCAATCCGAAGAGTGGCCTGCATAGGCGCCACACAGCTGGTTGCCATCTGTCATATGGTTCGCACGACTGCGCGATGATCAACAACTTGACACAGTTCACACAGCTCTGCGGTGCAAAGGCAGGCGAGAGCCTTGTTTGCGTTGTCGGCTATGCACACGTTGCTGACCTGCCAATTGCCCTTTCCAGCGTACGACTGCTTGTCTTGGTCTGTGCGTGAACTTGACATGTAAATTAAGAATACGATGGCAGAAACGGTCGATGACATGCTTCAATTGTCAACAAAGCAACAAGCCCGCAACCGAGGAGTGGGCAAGCCATTATTGTGACTGTCCTGCGATATCAAAAGCCTCGAGTCCACACAGAATCACCTCGGCGTTTTCGGTGTCGGGAGCAACTTCAAAGCAGTCGCCGAGCTCCTTGACAAGATCCGCCAAGTTCTTGCTGTCATACTCGCTTGGATGTGCAGCTCGATTGCCAGCCAGGCGCAGGGCGTCCATGGCGCTGAAGAAGTCACCTGGTGTTTTTGAAGTCTGTTCCTGCAAAAGCTTCACAAACGCAAAATACTTCTCTGCAATGTTGATCTGGGCGTCTTGCGAAAGCTCCGTGACAATATCGTGGATCTCGTTCGTACGAGGCGGAGCGCCTGCTTTTGGGACTTGACCGTAAAATCCGCCATCGCGAATGATGAAGGGGACAGCCCAGCGCATGTATTCACCAAGGTCTTGCAGGCGGCTAACATCTTCACTGGCTGGCCATCTCACACGATGGAGTAAAGCCGCGCGGACAAGCGTTGCCGCTTTCGACACGATTTGCCGCTTCTGAAGCGGGGTGCTCACAAGGGTTTCCAAGTTCTTAATGGTGGCAGCGTGGCTCTCATTATCCTTCGTCAGGGCTGCGATGGTGGCAGCCTGGCTTTTGATGGTGGCAGCGCGGCTCTTATTGTCCTCCGTCAGGGCTGCGATGGTGGCAGCGTGGCTCTCATTGTCCTTCGTCAGGGCTGCGATGGTGGCAGCGTGGCTTTTGATGGTGGCAGCGCGGCTCTTATTATCCTTCGTCAGAGCTGCGATGGTGGCAGCGCGGCTCTTATTGTCCTTCGTCAGGGCTGCGATGGTGGCAGCGTGGCTTTTGATGGTGGCAGCGCGGCTCTTATTGTCCTTCGTCAGGGCTGCGATGGTGGCAGCGTGGCTTTTGATGGTGGCAGCGCGGCTCTTATTGTCCTTCGTCAGAGCTGCGATGGTGGCAGCGCGGCTCTCAATGTCCTTCGTCAGAGCTGCGATGGTGGCAGCGCGGCTCTTATTATCCTTCGTCAGAGCTGCGATGGTGGCAGCGCGGCTCTCATGGGCCTTTTTCAGGGTTTCGATGTCCCTGCACATGCTCGGAAGCTGGTCAAGCGCATGCTTGACGTTGTTCAGCAGGTGTGCCGTTGTCCCAACCCCGTTGAAGTCATGTTTGACTTCCTCCCACCTGGTTGTGGGGGAGCGCTCGTTGACCATGGTGCCGATCGCTTCTAAGCTCTCGCTCGCGTGAAGCGCCGCGTTGAAGTGACTCTGAAAGTAGACTCGAACGCGATCCAGCTTTTGTACTGCGTTGCAAGAGACACGCGTGAGCAAAAGCATTGACATTGTGGCCTGCAACTCGTCACGTCACATACCAAGCCATTCGTATCTGTCTGATGTCAAGAAAGCAGACAACCTGCGATACGCGTCCATGGTTCAAGTCAAGGGTAGCGGGGAAATGATTGAGACGATCGATTCGCAACATCATTTGGGGAGGGCCAATTGTCGACAAAACGCTTTTTTTCCCGCCAAACAGAAATGATGACATTTCAAACAATGGCTGACATTCAAGCTGTCACAGCACTGCACCAAACGCGTAACACTTGGTGTAGGCGGCCTCTGATGACTACCGAAGACGAGATCATGAAAGTTTGCTCCATGAGACGCGGATGTCAAGCTGTCGACCCGGCTTGTTCTATCCTCAAGCCCCTTTCAAATTGCCATTCATGACCGCTGCCTTTTTTTGGTGCCGTTTGCCGATGCCGTTGGCCGCGCTGCCACACTTGCCACGATCGTGCTGCTGACAATAGACGAGTTACCAAATGATATCACTACCAACTGTCAGTCAGCCGAATGAACAGCTCCTCTGAGAGCGACACGTGCACCCTAACCCTTCAGAGAGCAGTGAAGCTAGAGAGAGAGCCTGAGGAGTGGGGGTCAGATTATATTCGGCTAGTAATTTATCACCTCGAGGTACTCGTGCTCTCTTGTGTGTGTGTGTGTTGGAAATTTTGTGTCCAAAGTGTCAAGTTTCTCTTTTTTTTGTTTTTGGCAGCGCGGTGAGGTCGACGGGGTTGGGAGACAGGGTTGGAGGGGTGTTGTTCGGGTCGGGTCATGTGTGCCTGAGAGTGTGTAAGATGGACCATCGCTTATACTCATGGTTCGTCGTGTTATGCCTTTTCTGCTGTTGACAGGGCGTCTTCTCCCCCCCGACCTCTCGTCCCTTTTGCCCCTCAAACACAGGTGAGCCGACAGACATGTCTGGGCCCTCGCGCCCGCTGGTACACAGCCATGCTCCTCCCCGCATGGTCGGTGCCCGAGCCATTGGCTAGGCATCCTGCCCTTGTTGGGACTGCAGGTTTCCATTGTATCATTTGGTCGATGGTTCAGTGTGATCTACAAGCTGTAGTTAGGGCTGCCAGTCCTTTTTGGATGTGGTTGACTTGCTGCAAAGTCTTCACCACATGGTCCCCTCACTTTGCACGCTGCTTTTGTGTCCTTGTGACTGCGCAGCCAACATGTTGGTGCTGTTTGAAACGCCTGCGGGCTATGCCCTTTTCAAGGTCAAGAAGGGCGTCAAGCTGTCCGAGGCCGACCTTGCCGACGTCTTTGCCACCCCCGACGCTGCCAATGAGGCCGTCAAGCTCAAGGGCTTCCACAAGTTTGAGGACACTGTAGAGGCCCTCACCGCGGCCACCGCCCTGACCGAGGGTAAGCTCAGCAAGGGCCTCAAGTCCTTCCTCAAGGACAACATCATTAGCAAGGAGGTTCAAGACACCCTGGCCGTCCCCGAGGCTAAGGTGAGCCCACAACTCTTAGCCATGTTGCTCTTGACCCTGCTTTCGCCTGGCAACATAACATGGCAGCACCTCGAATCAGCGCCTCCGGCTCATGCTTCAATTCTTGTCCTCTCTCCCTTTGATCGCGTGGTACCGAGTAGCTGGGTACCGTCATCAAGGAGAAGCTCGGTATCCAGTGCGTCTACGACTCTGGTGTGCAGGAGCTGATGCGTGGCATCCGCTCGCAGCTCTCTGCCGTCATCTCGGGCCTCCGCGAGTCTGACTTGACCGCCATGACCCTCGGTCTGGCGCACAGCCTCTCTCGCTACAAGCTCAAGTTTAGCCCCGATAAAGTTGACACCATGATTGTGCAGGCCATTGGTAAGACTCCTCGACACGAGTGTCCAAGTCCCGTAATCTTAGTACATTTTGATCGACTCTCATTGTGGCCTGGTTTGTGTCCTGCTACACTCTTAGCCCTGCTCGATGACCTGGACAAGGAGCTCAACACCTACACCATGCGCGTGCGCGAGTGGTATGGCTGGCATTTTCCCGAGCTCGGGTACGTCCTGGCGTCATGCCGCATTCTACTCATGCATATCGCTACTCCTTCAGTCCACCACTCCTTTCTGCCTCTGCTTCTTCTCTTTTTCTGCCCTTATTCCTCACACTGCGTCATTTGGATTGCTTCGCCTTGTTATAGCAAGATCATCACTGACAACAACGCTTTCGTGCGCACTGTCCTGACCACGGGCAACCGCAAGAACATGTCCAGCACAGACCTCTCGGAGATTTTGCCCGAGGAGGTTGAGCAAGACGCCAAGGAGGCCGCCGAAATCTCCATGGGTACTGAGGTTAGCATCGTTGATCTATTCGCTCAACTTCAACTTGCCAGCAACTACAGGTCGCGCACTTTTAGCCTTGGCGTTGGTGGAATTGGCTCTCATCCCGCCCACACACTGTGCAGATCAGCAACGAGGATTTGGATCACATCAAGTCCTTGGCCGAACAGGTGCTGGCCATTACCGAGTACCGTGCCCAGCTCTACGATTATTTGAAGAACCGGTATGTTGCGCACCAGCCGACATCAACTTCTTCTTTCTCTGATCTTTTACGCCTTTGCTTGTCAATGACCTTGCTCATATTGGCGACTGCTCACCATTCGTTTTTTTTTTTTTTGGCCTTGATCTTTTTGTTGTCAGCATGAACGCCGTGGCACCCAACCTGACGGTGATGGTGGGCGAGCTTGTCGGCGCTCGTCTGATTGCACATGCTGGCTCTCTTCTCAACTTGGCCAAGCACCCCGCCTCTACCGTCCAGATTCTGGGCGCCGAGAAGGCCCTGTTCCGTGCTCTCAAGACCAAGCACGACACGCCAAAGTACGGTCTTTTGTACCACGCTTCAGTCGTGGGCCAGAGTCAGCCCAAGAACAAGGGCAAGATGTCTCGCGTGCTTGCGGCCAAGACCTCTCTCGTGGCCCGTGTCGATGCCTTGGCCGACGAGAGCAACGTGAACATTGGTCTCGATTACAAGGCCAAGGTGGATGCTCGCCTGCGTCAGCTCGAGGGTGGCGAGGTGGTTGCCGCCACCAAGACGGGCGCCGCCGTCGGCCCTCAGTCCTTTGAGACAGTACCCCCTACGCAACAGTACAACACGGCCACCGATGCTGTGATGGATGTTGATTCGGATGACGAGAGTTCAAAGAAGAAGGCCAAGAAGGTGGGTTTTCAACCGTATTTTCATTCAACCTGCCTGCGTTGGGTATTTACGCTCGCGCTTTGCGTTTGTCGCTCGAGGCGTGCATCAGCTCATTCAACCATCTTGTGCCAATAGGCCAAGAAGGATAAGAGTGACAAGGACAAGAAGAAGAAGAAGCGCTCTGCTGATGCGGCAGACGAGGATGCCGAGGAGGAGAAGAAGCCCAAGAAGAAGAAGAGCAAAAAGTCCAAGGGCGAGTAGATGCCTAGCAGGTGTCTTCAAACTCAAACTCTTTTTAGCTGCGACTTGCTTTTTTGGCAGCAGAGCAATTGCTTAGTGTTCTTGTAGATGCAACGTCTTTGGGTTGTTCCCACATGTTCACCGTGTGCGGTCTTTTTGTGCGTGTGTTTTGAGTCATGACTTGCACGCGGTTTCGGTGTCCTTGTATGTGTTGTTGCCCTGCCGTTGCCATCCAGGCATGCTGGCCTGTCTCAGGCTCAAGCTCGTCCCCTCTGTTGTGTGCTTGCTGATTCGTCTCTTTGTCATTCGTTATTGTTGTTCACATCCGCCTTGACGCCGTCGACCACCCTGCTTGTGCGAGTGGAGCTTCGTGTGATAGGCGAGGTTTTGTGATTCGAGTCCGTGCAGGTCATGTCCATGCTTTTATCGTTTTGAGGCGTGTCCTGTAAAGTTGCGTAGCATACGTTCGGTCTCTGTAGCTCTTGTTTGTTCCTGGTGATCTTTTTTTTTTTTTTTCCCTTCGCTCCTTCTTGGTGGGGCGGGCAACACCGAGACTTTTGGCAGCTCGATGCCTGCTTTTTTTTTTCCCCTCTCTTTCTTCTCACTGCTCTTTCTAAGGGCATATCCTTGTACTAGCAGGACATGCCTTTGATTGAGTTTGCCAAACCAAATTTATCGAAATCTTGAACCGGCGGCGCTATGATGGCACAACGTGCGCTGTGCATTTGATCAGCTTGATTTGTAACAAGTTTTTTTACGACCACTTTTCTATTTTTATTTTATTTTATTTTGAAGGGTGAGCGAGCTGTGAGAACCGTCGACACTGTCAGCGGGTGGCGGTGGTTGGTCGTTCTTGGGCAGTGAGGGCTCACGGGCGTGTCAGAGGCTTCGATGAATGCATGGGTGGTGAAGGAGGTGATAGGGACAAGGAGTAGAGAGGGAGAGACTGGGCCGAGGGTGTGGTGCATGACCATGGTGTTTGCGAAGGGCCGGGTTTTACTTGCGCGTTGCTGTCACGCGCTGTCCCTCGCTGCCTCCCAACTCATCGCCTTGCCAGCGCGCATCTGGTCGGCAGACTGGCATTTGCCAAATTCAAGACAATCCAGGGCGCGGCGTATGTTTAAGAGCCTCACCACCGCTCATGCCCAAAAAGAGAGGCCGGGCTGCCGCGTAGGTCCTTCGCCTCGGCTGATCCTTCGCCGACCTGACTTGCCTTCCTTTCTCACTCATCCCACACCAAAATTTCCTCATCCTATTATCCCAGAGTGGCTAAAGCCCGCAAGGAAAAGGCCGGCACAGACGCCGGGCCGGAGCTCGACTTTGAAGACGAGACGGTCGAGGACGACATCATGGATACAACAGGCGAAGAGGACCCCGAGTCCGAATCCATGGCGGGTACTGCAGCAACCCAAGAAGAAGCCCTTCAACTCAAAGAGGCGATCGAGTCACGCCAGCAGCAGCGCCGCATTGACCGTGACCTGAACATCAACGCCGAAGAGCACCGGCCCAATCGGGACTTTTTCCGTCAGCTTGACTCGACCGTCAAAAAAACCACAGGCTTCGTCAAGAAACTCAAGACCACCATGAACGAGGGCTCTCAAGCTCAGCTTCTGGCCGACTTTGACAAGCTCAACCTTTCGCGGTAGGCTATGTCATCAGACGACTGTCATCCTGCCCCTCGTCCTTTTTGCTTGAAAAAACAAACAAACAAACAAACAACGCACAAACAACGCACAAGAACTCAAGCCGTCCCCGCACGCTGTTGGTGCCATTGCGGGTCATGACTGCAGATATCTTGAGGAGGTAACGGCTTCGCTGGCGGTGGCTGGCCAGATCAAGAATGCCAGCCTCGGCGTGACCGTGGCGTTGGCCGTGCAGCTTCACCGTCGCTACGAAGAGTTTGCCGATGGGTTTCGCCAGGCACTGGTGGCAATCCTTGCTACCACGCCGGACAAGGCTGATAAGGAGGCATTGGCCCACTTTCGGTACGCGAATCATCAGGTCACTTGGTGTGTGGATGATGATTGGTGGTGTTTGCTGATTGCCCGCTTGTTGGTGTGGCTGACCCTTAGTTTCACGTTTCGGCTTTTTGCCGAGATGGTGCTCATTGGCGTTTTCAATGAAGACAACGAAGGCAAAGTACGCACCTGCCATGTGGACGTTTGTGCACCTCTTTGCTCCAACCGTTTGGTCTGTTGCGCTGATTCAGCTTCTGGTCCGTTGCTGTGTAAAACAGGAGCTCTGCAAGCGCATCGCCAACTATTTGAAGAAGGACAAAGAGTTTGATCTGCTCGCATTATCCGTGCACTTGGTTGAACATTTAGCTCTGGATCTCGCAGCTCAGCTGCCCCGCGAGCAGTTGGGGATATTGCACAAGTTTGAACTCGAGGCCACACTTGACACGCCCTTTCCGGACCTTGCTCCAAATGTAAGTTCGCTGGCTGCAAAGCTCTTCGACTTGGAAGCTGTCACAGAGCTTTTGGTCGTGGCATTTTTTTTTCCAAGCATATCTGCTTCTGATCTTTGCGCCCCATTCTCGTTTTCTATAAACACAGATGAAGGCGCTCCTTGTGCGATGGTACAGTAAAGTTGCGGAGCGCCTCGTACGCGAGAAAAAAGCCTTGGACAAGCGCCTACGACAAGATCAAAATCAGGTTGAAATCAAGGTAAGTTTTCGCTCTTGTCCCAGCGCAATCATCACTGATATGAGCCCGCCTGTTTGCTCAGCGATGCTGCACACATCCTTGTTGCGTGACAGGGCGAGCTTTCCTCAGAACGCTCGGAGGGGACTAGGGCTATGCAAAGCGCCTACACCGAACTATTGCAGTATACCAAAGTGCTGGCCAACGTCCTTGACCAGGTCTCTTACACTATTGTCTTTCACATCGTTTTATTTTTTTTCTACTTTTATTTTTTATTTTTTTATTTTGTTGGGTTGTCAGTTTGTTTTGTTTCGGTTTCTGTACGCGTGCTGCCCTGGCATGCTCTGCTCATGTGGTGGCTCATTGCTCAGGACATGCCTGATTTACCTGTGGCGCCGGCTGAAGATGAGCTGATGTCAGGCGTTGTCGTGGACACGTCCAACCCTTTCAAGGTCAGTTGTGTGGCCAGACACACCTATCACTCAATGCCACTCAGAGAAGGCTATGTTCGTCATGCTCGGATCTTGACTTATCACTTGACGCATACGCACATTATGGTCTCGATGGCATAGAACCTCAACCCGGAGGATGCAGCATCAAGCCTGTGGGTAGATGTTGAGGAGCAAGAGTTTTACGAGCATCTCCCCGACCTACAGGCTCGCCTTCCAGAGGTGCTCTTTGCCTCGAGCAAGAAGCAACGCCGCAAACTGCGGAAGAAGGCCGAAGAGGAGGCTGGCGCACAAGATGAGGGCGCGAGCGAGGGCGAGCAGGAAGGTGAATCGCCGGGAGATGGTCCCGAAGGCGAGGTTGAGGATGATGGCGAGGAAGAGGTCGATGAGGAGGCCGAGCTCAGGGAGGACGCCAATTTGGATGAGTATGACGTGGACCAGAAGGCACCACTCACAGCCGGCCCGCCAGAGGGGGGGACAGCAAACGATAAGATTGTGGCTTTTCTTGAGCAGTTGCCGAATAGCATGACGACAGATGCCGTGGACCGTCTGGCGGAAGAGTTTTGCTACTTGAACGATAGCGGCGCCCGGCGGCGCCTTGCTGAGGCGTTATTCATGGTTAATCGCAATCGCGTCGATCTACTACGCTACTACGCTCGCCTTGTGGCTACACTCTATCCAGGCATTCCTGAGGTGGGCACCGAGCTGATCAAAAGCCTCAACGGTGAATTTCGTTTTCTCTACTTTAAGCATCCGGCCGATCGCATCGAGAGCAAGGTCAAAAACATGCGATACATTGGCGAGCTGATCAAATTTCGCGTGTTTCCGATCAACGATGTGATGCGCATCATGCGGGTACGTCTCTATGGTCTATGGTGTTTGTGAAAATGTAAATGAACCAAAGGTGTGTGTGTGTGTGTGTGTGTGTGTGTGTGTGTGTGTGTGTGTGTGTGTGTGTGTGTGTGTGTGTGTGTGTGTCTGTGTGTGTGTCTGTGTCTGTGTCTGTGCCTGTGTCTGTGTCTGTGTCTGTGTCTGTGTCTGTGTGTCTGTGTCTGTGTCTGTGTCTGTGTCTGTGTCTGTGTCTATGTCTGTGTCTCTGTCTCTGTCTCTGTCTCTGTCTCTGTCTCTGTCTCTGTCTCTGTCTCTGTCTCTGTCTCTGTCTCTGTCTCTGTCTGTGTCTATGTCTCTGTCTCTGTCTCGTCTCTGTCTCTGTCTCTGTCTCTGTCTCTGTCTCTGTCTCTGTCTCTGTGTCTGTGTGTCTGTGTGTGAGTTGTTGATGCGTGTTAAGAATAACCTACGGTTTTGCTCATTCTACCGGCTGTGTCAACAATAGATGCTGCTCAACAAATTCACCGGACAAAATGTGGAAATGCTCACCAACTTACTGGACACGTGTGGCCGATTTCTCTATCGCTCTCCCGAGACGCATGTGCGCACCAAGGCGCTCTTGGCCACCATGATGAAGAAAAAGGTGGCTTTGCACGATGAACGCTACCTGACGATGATCGCCAATGCGTACTACTATTGCAACCCACCAGAGCGTGCCCTCATCGAAGTTAAAGTTCGACCTCCACTTCACGACTATTTGCGCAAATTGTTGTACAAGGATCTCAAACCAAAGGCCGATGTCGTCAAATCGTTGCTGCCCAAGCTTCGCAAACTTCCCTGGTCGGATCCAGTCTTTTTCCAGTACGGCCTCAAGTGCTTTGTGCGCGCATGGCTGCTCAAGTTTGACGAGATCATGGCGTTGGCCTCGTTGCTGTCTGGACTTCGTGATCACGTGCCTCAGCTGTCGTATGCCGTTGTTGACGCTGTTTTGGAGGAAATTCGCTTGGGCATGGAGATCAATACGCCAGACATCAACCAGCGTCGGGTAGCCACCGTCAAGTTTCTGAGCGAGCTCTTCAATTTCACGCTTGTGGACAGTGGTGTCATCCTGAACACACTGTATTCTCTCATTTCCTTTGCCGCCCACGACCCATTCCTCGATCCACCCCACAACGCATTTCGGTACGTTAATGCCAGTGGCGGCTCAGTGGCATTGCCAAGTAGAACCACGTGATGGCCGCGCCATGCTCGTTCTGTCCATATCCTCATCACCCACTTGCGACTTACACAGCATCAAGCTTGTCTGCGTTCTTCTTGATACATGTGGGAGCTTCTTTGCGAAGAGCCAGGAGAAGCGTCGGTATGCCTTGGACGACAACAGTTCCTTGATGTGCTTCTTGACTTGTACTTGAATCGGGGTTGAATTTACCTCGATGTCTTGGGTTGGTGGCTCCTTCAGGTTGGACAACTTTCTACTCTACTTCCAGCGATACGTCCTGCGCAAGCCCCAGCCGTTGCCAATGGGCATTAAGTTTACCTTGCAAGACACGTTGGAAGCCCTACGGTAGGCAATCGGGTCGAGCTTGTGTGTGTATTGACACACGCATTGCACAGAAAGTGCAGTGGTGCTCCCGAGCTGCATCTCGTCCGTCCCCTTACGCCAAGCCCATTGTTTGCTACTGGTCAACACAGTCCGAAAATGGTCCCCATCAGCACGCTCGAAGAGGCTGAGGCTGCAATTGCAGAGTTGGAGGCCGAGAACCTTCGCAAGCTTGAAAAGAAGGGCTTTGACATCAAAGCTCTACAGCAGAGCCAGAGGGCTGCTCTGGCCGATGCCAATGCCGGTGAAGACAGCGACTCCGATGACGAAGATGACGATGATGACGACGATGATGAGGGTGTGTCATGGTCTCTCTCTTCTTCTCGCAATGCAAGCCACTGCTATTCGACCTCTTCTATCATGCAAATGTCGGCCAGCGATCAATTCACGGCGCATGCCTTATGGTTCTTGCTTGCATGGGCGGATGAACACCGCGATACACACATAGAAGTTGACGCGGTACGTCACGTCGTGATGCCCCAACTTCAGCCTGCGAGTTGCAAGGTAACTCATGCGCGATGCTTGCTGATACAGGGTTCGACAGACGCCGTGGCGAACAGTGAAGCGGTCGATGACGATGACGACAATCATGTGGTGCTCAAGGAAGCAAAGGTAGGGCCGATAATATCTGAGTTCTTTGTGAGCTGAGGGTGACGTCACGCCCACCATCATCTGCTGCTTGCCTCCGATTGTGTTGCACAAGCACATCTATTTTTTTTTTTTCCTTGTTGTTGCTCATCAAAGATTGCTTGATCTAGCCACACGAGCCCGAGCCAGAGGATGAAGATTTCGTCAAGGAGTTCAATCGCATGATGACGGACTTGGGCAAGAAGAGCAATCAGCCAGCCAAGGCTTTGGACGTGGCCATTCCAGCACAGCTCAAGGTTCGCATTCAGTTGGAATTTCTTACCCACCCATGTTGACAGCTGGTCTTCACGTGAAAATATGAACATGCCGCCTTCAATAGGGACAAGCGCCTCGCGAGGTTCACGGAGATGGTGGTAGTCAGTCCAAGCTTGTGTTTACGTTGCTGACCAAAAAGCGCCAGCAGGAAATCTTGGTGCCTGCGGCAACGGGCATGGCCGAAAGCATGATCCAACGTCAACGTGTAAGGCCCATTACCATGGATTCCTTCGACTGCCCATTCGGGTGTGGAGCAGCATGAGCTTTAAGCGAGGGTTGGGTGAGGGTTGCTCTCACAGTGTGTCCTGCATCGGCACTTTTATCATGTTGTGCATGTAGGAGGAAGCAGCCGAGCGTCAACGAAACAAGCGCCTGGTCATGGAGTTTGATCAGCGTGCCAAGGCAGAGGAAGAGGAGGAAGAACTTCGTGGTGTTGTCCACCCTATCCTCCGCGAGCAAGCAGTGGGTCTCGCGTTTGGGCAAACATGACGGGCTTGAGGCTCGATGGAGTTGCTCATGCATTTATACCTGCCTATCGTTTTGGGAACAGGTTGTGCCCCGAAGCAATGCACGCGACACGTCGCGCAACAATCGACGCCAACGCAAGGGATATGTACGTATTTTTCTTTCTTGTGAGATCGAATCTTGATTGCCGATGTGCCGGCAATATATCCTGGCTCACGTCACCGGATGATGGGTGTGATAGATTGGTCCTGGTGCCCGTGCACAGCAGCGTGCAACCATGGATGAGGACGAGGACGAGGGAGAGGAGCGATGGACTGGCCAACCTGTATTTCCAACGTGATTCGAGCCAATGAGAAGCCATAATTTCTTTCATCGGGTGTGCAGCAGCATACGCATTGCCCAGCAATATACCTCTTGCCTGGTGTAGTGATGATGAGTCTGCCTTGGATGCTTTGGCGTACATTTGTCACTTTTTTGGACTTGTACTCGCCCCACCCCTCGGGCATTTGGTGTTCAGGTACAAGTGACACGGGCTTCTGAAGAGCCCTTGACAGTACACGAACGAGCGCGTGAATTCGTGCGCGAAAACTAGCCAGCGACGGAAACAGTGACTTGTTTGGGTGCTGCGCGCCCACCCCTCCGCTCGTTCGCACGTGACGGCGCGCGTTCGCACCACGACAACCACCGATCAACTGAGAGCCGATTGAAAAGCTTCCCCCAATTTTTTTTTAATGTTGGCAGCTTCAATTTAAAGCATGCACCAATATGGACCTTTATGCGTCAAGCTTAGCTTGCAGATCTTTATTGCATTTCAAGACAGAGGCCAATCATCATTGCCTGCCTGCCAACGCATCATAGCAAATGTTTTGCGAGACACCGTAACTTGCGACCAGCAAAAGATTGACTCTGCGATGTGTTTGGGAGGGCGATCAGAGCATTGCGTCGTCCCCGTTGTGGTCTAGAATCAGCATCTCATCATCTGAGGCGTCTGAGTCTGTGGTACCCAGGGGTCGATACTTGACGCGATGACGAGAGCCCATGCTGAAAGATTGCGCATGGCCGCGGATGGCGTCTCGGGAACGGATATGTTGCATGGAGCCAATGGATAAGAAAGGGCCAAAGGCCAGGTAGCCTGAAAACCAAAAATAGACGATGGCTGTTGGAACCAGTAGCATGTAGGCCCACCAGGTGTGGGCCATGCTGGCGGAGACGGTGTCAAACATGAGGTAGCAGTTGGCCACGAACACGAGTAAAGCCACGGCCCAGGAAAGAAGTTGAAGGCGCCGGCCACTGACAAAATTTCCCATGATGCCGCTGGAGCTAGTGAAATGAATCAGGGGAAAGAGGGCAAAAGGAAGTTGCAGTGATTGCAACACGTTGATCCACTCATCAAACCCATTGAGGTTCTCATCTACCCAGGCACGTGACGAGTGAGCACAGTTGCGTTCCGCAAGAGCGCCTGCTCACTTGCCCACTTGAGGCTACATGGCGATCAGCACTCACCCGTAAAAACGGTGATCAAGATGGTGGGCAGCATGGCGACGGTGCGAGTGAGCATGACTCGCTTCCAAGGCGAGATTTTGAGCTCAAGGAAGCCTTGCATGACAAATTGGCCAGCATAACAGCCCGTCATGGTGGATGCCTGCCCCGCTGTCGGGTACCCGCGGGCCGTGTCCAGGTCAGGCAGTGTAAGTAAAGTGAGCCAACCGATTTCAACTGGAAGGTTGGGTGGGGGTGGAGAAAAAAAGTAGGCGTTGCGTACCAGCCAGCAGCCCGAGGGCCCAAATGTAAAGGACGGCTTTGCCGTAAGTGTCATGCAGAAAGTCACCGGCAGATGAGAGTGTAATGTCGTGGTCAGCTTCGCCTCGGGCAAAGACGCCAACGACAAACAAATTGATCAGGAAGGAAACAAAGAGGGCAAAGCCAAGCTCGATGGCGTTGTACATGTGCGCTTCCTTGACCTTGACCTGAACGGTGCATGGGGAAGTATCCACGCGATTTGAGGGAAGGAGAGGGCGCGGTAAGCACAACCAAACATGCAGGTGAAAGCGGGGTCGGGCGCAAGAGTCAGAGGGACGAGGGCTTTGTTCCACGCATGTGAGAAAAGAGACTTGCATTGGCGCTGCGATCAACGTCGCGGCTGAGGACCAAGGCCGAGTGCAGCATCAGGTTGTGGGGCATGATGACAGCGCCAAGAAGGCCAACGGCTTGAACAGCAGTGTCGTTCGTAAGTGTGGGAACGGCCATGCCCTTGAGGACGGCGGCAGAATCTGGCTGCAAGTGTCCATAAATGTACCCAAACGTGCCGACCATGATGGAGATGAGGAACGCAAAAAGATATTCCAGCTTTCGAAGACCATCTGCGAAGGCAGCGAGGCAAGATGCGTTGGACAGCTGTCGGTGAGGGGCACAGCTGGTCGTTGTTGCAATCTGGGGCACAAAGCACAAGCTTTCTCTTCGAGGTGGTAGCCAGTGAATGAGGTTTTCGCACATTTTTCAAGGAAGAGAAAGCTGAAAGTGTCGAGGCCGGTGATGAGAGCGCCACCCCACAGAGGGATGATTCCGTTGCTCAGTATGCGGATGGCTAAGGCAGAGCCTGCACGGTTTGAATTGGAATAATCAATGGCAGGGTCAGGGGAGCTTCTGGGAGGGATCCATCTCATGAAAAACGCTGCTCCAGGGTGGCTGGCGCAGCTTTCGTACGCATCGAAGCGTGAACATGGATGGGGGGGGGGCTTACGCACCGATGACTTCCTGGCAATCGCTGCCAATGATGGCTAGCTCCATCATAATCCAGAGGGCATAGCGAACGGGGGGGCTGTACTGCTTGCGACATTCCTCGGCCAGATGGCGTCCCGTCGTGACCCCAAGTCGACTGGGCGGGTGATGGGCAGTAGCGTGAACCAAGGAGAACGGAAGCAAACACAGCGCCCAACTCGTGGCAGCTAGCATAGGTACAGGCTTGGTACACGGCGAGGGAAGACGGCGTACCTGGCCAACGTTTGGAGCAGATAGCCGGCAATGGTGGCCCAGAGCAGCACCCAAAGCAGGGAGTATCGGCCCGCGACACCGGCTTGCAGATCTGATTCGATGTTGCCTGGTTGATGAGTGCAGGGAAGATCAAGGAAGAGGCGTCAGAAGCAAGCATGAAAAGCAGTCAGGGACACAGTGCCACAACGACAGGAGGCCAAGGAGGAGGAGGAGAAGGAGGAGAAGGAAGAAAAGAGGTGCGAGGACGACGCGAGTGGCTTCGATGCACAGACCTGGGTCTAAATAGGCAAGGGACACGAGCAGAGAGGGCCCACTAAAGGCCCACAATTTGCGCCAGGAAAATCTCGTGCTCTCGCCTTCCGAGGGGATATGGATCGCGGCCGAGGTGAAGCCATGCTCCTCCGGCAACGAGGCGGTGGCGGAGGCGGCGTCCGAACTCATCGCGCGATCACGGTGTGACGCACGGGCCACGGATTTCAAAGTAAAATACTATCGGTTTTTAAAGGCGTTGTACGGTTTGGCCTGGGTGGCTTTGTATGAAATACTTTTTGAAAGACATATGGCTGGTGTAAAGAGGTGGTGAGAACAGTGGTTTTTATTTGATTAACAACCAGTTGACGCAGCATTCACAGAGAAAGGAACCAGAGAGAGAAGCTTGAGAGAGAGAGAAGAGAGAGAGAGAGAGAGAAGAGAGAAGAGAGACAGAGACAGAGACATTCTCTCTCTCAGCTGCACACACGACCAGAGACCAGAGACCAAGAGGCGCCTTTTTTTATTTTTTATTTTTTTACAAGATTGTTCTTCGGCATCTAGGGTGGCAGTAGGCGTTGTGGGGGAAGGTATTGGTTGCCGTGGTCGTTGGAGGTTGAGTGGACTTGGTGGTGGTGGGGTCTCGCGGCCGGCGCTTGACCCCGCGCTCAAGTCGGGGGGCAGGGAGCCGCTGAACGGCCGCATCGAGATCCGAGTTGGCAACGAAGTGCGGCGGCGGTGCTCGATTGGAACCCTGTGCTCACACGCAGCGGCTCGGGGTGACCAATGAACATGGCGCCCGTCGTCATGCCCACCAGCAACGTTCAAGAAGGCCTTGAATTTCCTGGTATGTTGGGTCCATCGGTCCTTGGCTTGGGCTTGGGATCGACGGTTTTTTCCCCGTCCCCTCTCGAGGGACCAAGCCACGGTCGCCGGCATCGCTCCTGTGACACGCAGGGCTGGGTTTGATGGCGGCAAAGACTTACTCTGGCTTCGCGCTTGGGCTTTGACCTCGGCATTCTGTGTTGCGGGGCTTGGTAGTGCAACTCTTGTTCAAGACAGATGAGGAGGCTCACGTCCAAACCAAGACGCTGGTCGTGGGCAATCGTCGCTACGTTGGCGTCAAACTACACTTTTCTTTGAGGCCAACGTCATCCGACTCGTCAATTTCCAATCATGCGGACAAGCTCAAAT